AATCCGCACCCTTGACTGTTTACTCTGTGTAATTATCAGTCTAACAGTTTGTCCTACGGTTGCACCTTAATGCAGATGTGACTGTAGGTGAAAAGTGGAGGCGGCTAACCACGTTCGCTAAAGGTAGCTACTACACACCAGCCCAAACCGGCTATTACCTTTTCTTCCCCTCTCTACTCAATGCATAATTTTAATTACCTTTACGCAGAGTTCATATCAATATTGTTCAATTTGCCTGGCGGACAAATGTTCCCACACACTCACAAACCAGCCAGTGTGCGCAAGTCTCGCGAAATCTGCGGAAAACGAAAGGTGATGATAAAAAAAACTTCACTTCCCGGAGAGCCCTCTGCTGCTACGTCGGCAAGAATAACATGAGCTCTGTCGCAAAGGACTATGGGTAATGATATTTTTTTGCAACGACACCAGATGGGGACGTGGAATGACAGCGCTGCATGCTGCATTCGAGCACTTTCGGAAATAGTTGCCGGAGAAACACGGCCTCGCGTCACAGGTCGATGAACGCAACACCATTAGACACAAGGGGAGACATTTTTTCTGTGATACCGTTTTATGTCAGCATATAGACGTAGGTTTCTTTATCTCACTTGTTTTTGTAGTCCCAGTCACCTGCCTAATAAAAAATAGTGACATGCTTAAAAATAAAAAACAATAAACTCGATATTTTGACCCTTACATTAACACCAACTTCTTACTCTGACTCAAAGTAAGTAGGCAGTATTCAATTATTTCCAAAGAAGACATATTGTACAAAGATATGGCATTCATTTTATGATTTATTTTTAAGGTATGATTGCGTTCAAAACAGCACATTTTAGTAGGAACCACTCTCTCTATCCAAGACAAAATGTATGCTTGTGTAAAAGGGACAGAAGAAAGACTACATCTCCATGGTTACACATCTGCAGTATTAAACAGACGTTACATGCTTGTTGCTTATTACACCTGTAATCCATTCGTTGAAAGACGAGACTTTAGTGTATACATCAGGCTTCCTTGGGTTTCCGCATTTTCTTCCAGAAAAAGAGACAATACCTGCCACACCGCTGTCACACACCAGTGGACCACCTGAATCCCCCTTGAAGAAAAAATCATAATAATAATTAATTAGGACAAAGTAGAGTAGGTGTGGTGCTGAAAGTTCTTTGTTATTAGTTACAAGTTGTTGTCTACTCAGTGCTTTTTCTCACCGAGCAGAACCCTTGGAAACGTCCCCTGCCCACACCGCAGACCATAGTTCTAGTAATGGGAACCCTTCCCCATCTCCTGCGGCATGTAAGCGGTCTTAGGATGGTTACATTGACTTCTTGAAGAACGGTTGCCAGTGTGTCGTTGTCTCCGATATCTCCCCAACCAGCTGTGATGCAATTACTGTTCGATTTCACATCGTCTGTTTTCAAAGGGATCAGCTGGACTTCGTCTGTTATCTGGGCTTTGCCGTTAAGCTAAGACAGCATTGTGTAGTTAGTATGACGTTTGTGAGAACTCCAACCAGTGAATGCCATCTTTAAAAGGGAATCTTTAAATCCGATACAGACAGTGTTTGAACTCCACTCACCTGAAGGAGCATGATGTCATTCTCCTGTCCATCATAGTTGGGATGTAGAATGTATCTAACACTGGTGAACTCCTGCTTTGTATCCTCGTCGCCAGATAAGGTGTCAACTCCCAGCACCACAGTGTACGGTCTAGAAATCCCAGACAGATGACGGCTTGACATCAGATATGACTTTAAGGCTGCGAATATTGTCACACTTATAATAGAAATCCAACACAATAGCCTGTCTTTGTGCTAAGCTAAATATCATTAGTGATTCCAAGTGTCGTGTCAGGGAGACTGCACTATACACACACAAACATATGTATATACGTGTATGTGGGTGTGTGTTTCTTCACCTAAGATTAGATTAGCTGAAAAAAAGACATTCAATGAACTGACAGTGGTGAAATGAAAAAATAAAAACATCATGATATTACAGTATATAATTTAAGCATATATGCAATAGGTTGTTATCATTTTAATCTGTTAATATCAGATTCTACATTAAAATGTATGCACAGCATAGCAAAGTGTTCTTACACCCGTAGTGCACAATGTGCTGCTGTGAGCACAAAGTCCTCTTTCACCAACACTCCTCCACAGTTGTGTCTGCCCCGGACTTGCAGTGAAGCCATGTACGGGCGTGAGTGCGGGGCCACATTTCTACCACCAACGATTTGAGTAGCATCGGCTCCTGAAAAACAAAGTTACAAAAACATTACTATTAATGATTACGTGTGGTCATCTTACCTATACCATGTTTAAGAAAAATAAATAGATGATTGTTTGACTTAATACTTAGAACAAAGAGCAGGAGAAGAACACCGCTGACTGCCATGGCCTCTGCCAACACCCGTCTGCCAACATATGGTCAATACTGGCCTTCTGATTTGTTAGAGAAGGGAAAGAAAAGAAAAAAAACATTTTGTTTTTGTAATCTTTATTTCATCAGTGCATTTTGGTAACATGCTTCTAGTGGGATGCGTTTCAAAAGACTTGGTTTTAATTACTCAAGAGTATTTCATAAAGGCTACCTCAGAGCTTCGTGGTTTAGACTGCAGCAGCTCTGGAGATGCAGGAAAAAAAGCACAGAATTTAATTTTGGCTGCGCTGGAATAATTTTCATTAATTAAGTGATGCAAAAAAGAAATAAAAAAAAACAACTCATCATTGTCAGAACCAAATACACTTTACTTTCAGTGAGTGAAAAGTATGCAGTAAGTTTGTTCAGTTTCTGCTTTTTCTTTGAAATTACACAACATTGCATTATTGCTGTTAAGAAAACCTGTGGCTGTCACGTGCGGGCATTGACATAGCAGGAAGCACGCAGGACCCAAATGCAGTACTGGTGCAGGTAGTTTATTTGAAGATTCTAAATTCCAAAAACCAGGACTGAAGCATACACAAAGTCAAGCAGAGCTGAGAACACGAAGAGAGTTGAGCACAGCAACAGACTTGCTCAGGAACAAACTAGAAACAGCTACAACAACAAACTCGACACAACGCTGGCACGAAGGATACAGCGCTCACAAAGACAGTCAATAACCTACACACTGATCCAACACAATGATCCAACCAGGGCAGAGTGAGGGACAGAGGTATATACACACAGGGAGCACCAGGTGAAGCTAATTACAGACAGGTGAGTGTGATCACACAGATTCCCCCACAAAGCAGACAGCAGGAAAAGGAAACAGACAGACATGACAGTGGCTTGTCAGTGTTGCAGAAAAATCATTGTCTCAACATGATTTTTTTTTTTTGTTACTAGAGACTGAAAGACTTTTGGCAAACTTAAGGGTAAATTCCAATCCCAATTATTTTGTTTTTCTTTTTTGCAGGTCTTTGGGAGCTCTCTAATACATCAGCATTATTATTATGCAACACTGATAGCAATTTAAATTGTATTTGTCCTGCACTATATAATAAACAAAACGTATTATATTATATTATATTATATTATATTATATTATATTATATTATATTATATTATATTATATTATATTATATTATATTATATTATAAACCCACTGCTTTGATCAGGTGTACATTTGAGCAGTGGGCTGAGAATCTTCTTGCAGCTTCTTGTTTTCTCTGAAACACATGAACACTTGAAACCACAGTTTCCAACCTCATGTTTCAGTGTCATGTTTCCCGTCAAACTTTATTTAAATGTAGTCTCATAATGCATGATGTCGCATTAGCGTCTGCGGTTGTGTTAACTCTCAATGCACTACAGCAGTGTTTTACATACTATAAATAATCCATTACAGTGCAACATATCAGCCTCGTTTTTTTTACCATGGTGTTTTCACGATTCCATAATATTTGCTAAGGTAATACGCAGTTACTTAAACTAGGTCCCTGTACGTGGCATTTTACACAACAGTATTGAATAAGCTCCGATTTGAAGTCCATGTTTTTTCCCCTTCACCACATTCATCATGTGGACAAACTCGCCTGTGTTCTCTTGACCTGTCACGCATAAACCAACTCCAAATGAAAAGGTTCAGGGGGAAGCTGAACAAATGCAGTACATCCTCATCAACAGTAGAGTCTTTATGGCAATTACATCCTCCTTATGTATGAAAACATGACCCACTGTGGGGCATCAAAAATATGAGTCTCAGTAGAACAGCTCTTCTGTGGGGGTAGAACAAATAACCAGCCATTTTCATTTTCAAGAAAAGTCAAATGAAGGATTGTGAAACCAGAGCTTCCTCTTTTTTATGCACTGATTACTTTATTTTTCAAAACCACAATAGCCATTAAAACCAAAAGCATATGTTGTTTATTAGAGAGCATAAAGATAGAAAAGCATTTCAAAATTACCTTTTTGCATTTCAGATATGCGAGGGTGAGTCACTAAGTTAACATTAAATCTGGACACTTCTTCCTGCAGGTTTTACTTCATTGTAGAATTCTGGTGGATTCTGGGGAAAGTAGGCCACAACCTACTTATTTTCCCCTTTGCTTTATTTTATTTTGGTAAAAACAAGAAAATCCATTTGAGCTGGATCAAAAACCTTAACAGATATCCATGAAATCTTAATTTTAAAAAATTTTGGCAGCTATTTCAAAATTGTTCATTTTTTAAAGTTTGAAAAGCATGACAAAGAAGAACAGAACACTCAATCATTCCATTCAACACACATGTGATGAAAAAAAAAGTTGAACATTTTTTAAATCATTAAACTGCCTTAGAACATTTTTTTTGACTTGCACTTTCATTTACAGCATCTCAGTAGAATCAACAGCTCTTTTTCTTGAGAACGTCTTTGATCCACTGCAGATATTTGGATATATCTGTGTAGACATTGGGTACGTTCGGGTAGTCACAGTCCTTCCTCATGTTAAAGGACACAACACCAACCGCTGTCCCGCCACACACCAGTGGGCCCCCAGAATCCCCCTGTGAGGAGCAGGAAGGAGGCAGATTTAATAACCATTGGTCAGAACAGAACACAGACCTGTGAGATCAATGAAATAACCAGACATCATACCTGACAAAAGCCTTTCTTTACTTTATACCCTCCGGCGCAGATGACGTTTTTGGGGAGATCAAAGTTAATGATTTTCCATTGTTTCTTACAGACCTCCAGGTTGACAATAGGGACCTCAGTGAATTGCAGCACATCAACATTTGGACCTTCAGTTTTTGTGAGACCCCATCCTGCGACACGACACTTAGCGTTGTCCTTGATCTTATTGGCAGCCTTAGGAAGTTGAACTGGTTGTACTCTGTTATTGAGTGGAGGTTTCCTAGATAGCTGGAGAAAAATACAAAATTCCAAAACGTAAAATGAGGTTGCAGTTTCATCCATCCATCCATCCATCCATTTTTATCCGCTTATCCGTTACCGGGTCGCGGGGGCAGTAGTCTCTATGACCGCCACCCAAATCACACTGCACCGTACCAACCCCCCTGAACCTTCCTGCGATTGGTGAGTCCACTGGAAGGTTCCAACCGCCCAGGAGGTGAACCATGGGGTTCAACACCAACTTACTTTGAGAAGCATGATGTCACCTCCATTTGCAGCCTTCGTGAAATGCGGGGGTATGCATTTTTTGGCTATGCCATATCTCATGTCTTTGGTGACATTCTTAAGATTGTGCGTGCCGAGAACGACGGTTGAAGGTTTTCTGAAGAGGTAGAGGTAACAGATGAGGTGTTAGTGGCTTTTAGCAGAAGTAACCAGAATAAAACCACGCTATACTTCACCCACATATCGTTACAGTGCGCAGCAGTTAGCACAAAGTCTTGACTGATCAGGAATCCCCCACATCTCTGACCCTGGCTGTTCTGCACCAAGGCCATGTACAGCATCAAATTCTTCGGCACCTTTTTGCCATTTACGATGTCACTTCCTAGCCCTTCAAGAACAAAAAGCGTAAAGTATGACATACAGTGGAGTTCTTAATAACAAAGTGGTTTTTGTTTTCTTGGGAACCTTACCATTTTGACAAAGGCTCATCAGAACAAGGAGCAGGAGTTTGGTTGGCCCAGTCATGGTGCTGGTCTTTAAACCCCTCTCTACTTTGTCACAAGTTTTATAGAGGAGTTGTCTCGACACAAATTACTGTGGTTTTTGTTCCCCTTATCGTTGCTTTCTCACCTGCAGCCCCTTTTGCATTCTGCTGTGCAGAGTGCATGTGGTCAGTGTGTGTGAATCATCCTGCATCTCGTGGTTATGCTGACTAGGGGCTGTGAACAGGAGCTGTCCTGTCACATGAATTAAAAAGTATAGAAAATATTATTAACGTGACACTTGTGGCTTCAGTTGACGTGCACCAGATGACAGACAGTTTCACACTATATTTAACTCTCTACTTTCGCACGGTCGGAAAGTGCAGCAGTTAGAATTCAGCCTGCTGCTGTGAAAATAACAAAGTCATTCCTCCGCATTTCCTCCATTCGAGTCTGAAAAGTTGTGATTTTTTATCAGAGAGTTCCTTCTTTGTAAAATTCTGAGGATGTCTTTGGCACCAGGTAAAAGTTTCTTTCAAATATGCATATTATATTATATATATTACAGTAACTCTACTTTAACTAAAGATGTTTTTATTCAGCTTTGATTTGTTGAAATCACAAAAATTTGATCAAAGAAAATGTGAAAGCACAATGCTTAACAAAGACGTAATGATGTGTGTGTGTGTGTGTGTGTGTGTGTGTTCAAGGAAAACGTTTGCGGTGCAGCAGATGTCAAAATAACTGACAGGAAGTTGAAGGCTGCAAAAGAACAGGCTGTAAGCCAGTAAGAGGCGTAGAAATAGAAATCTTTACAACGTGAGAACTAACTCAGCAACAGGTCCCCAGGTTCTGACCGGAGGTTCTTGGAGAACGCTGGCTCTACTGTCAGCCCAGCCAGGTGGCTGAGGTCATTCTCAGAGATGACCCTTTGTGCTGTGAACAGTGACAGGTTTGAATTGACCGTCAGTTTAGTCAGGGCCAGAGGTCAGCTGTCATGGTCATCCAACACTGACTCTATTTACCACAGCAGACGACCAGCACTGGGTCCAGAAGCTGAGGGTTCCCAAGCAGGGAATTATGGGACCATGGTCAGTCACTGCAACAACACACAGCTGTTAGGAGTTGGATTTGATTGACAGCTCTGTACTGTGTTTGAGACAGGAGGTGATAAGAAGAGAAGCATATGATGATGAGATGATGACGTCCCCATCACTGATGTACTCTCCTCAGATTAACACATAGAGATTCATATCAAACCTGAACAAAAAACTAAACTTATATTGCAGACATTGTACCTGGGCACATTAACCGGGACAGTTCGTTCTGTAATGTTGCTTTGATAGGTGACTGAACTTTTGAACTCGGTTCTTTGAATGAAGTGGAAGATTGGTTCTATATTTGACCGTTAGAGGGCGCTACATACCCATCAGTAGAAATCTCAATCCGTCTCAATTTTTGCCTTCAATTTCAAGTACTTGGAAATCCCTCTCTTATAGTTTAAATAAACAAATGAAAAGTCAACACATAACAATGTCCCATTAATGAAAAACAATATTCAAGTTTCACTACTGTGTGTGAATTATACTTTATTGCATGTGTGGTCTGGGAGCTACTATTCTAATGACCAGGCTAAAGTGATCTGCCTGAACTTAGATATATATATATTTACTTACAGAAGTTGGGAAAGAATGTAGTGACCTCCCTTTGTAACCTTTGACCTTGTTTGCCTGTTTGGGCCTTTTATCTGTAATGCTCTCCATAGATACAAACAATGTCAAGTAGTTATAAACAACTACACCAAGCTATCATTCCAACTCAGTCCTAATAAACCACGAACATCATGTTTGAATGTTAATAAATAAATAAAACCAACTAGTTTTAGGTTTACTTCAGTCTGTTGTTGTAATTTCTTTTGAATGTTTTTCAAGAATAACATTTTATTTGTCGAGTAAAAACCTGCACCTGTTGCTCGGTGGATTTAGAAGAAACCACGGATGTGAAGAATGATCATATGCAGTGACAAAATACAAAGTCTGTCTTGTTTCTAACTGACATGAATAATTACTTCACACTTAGCTGGGCTGGACAGGCAGAGTGGATACACTCTGGCATGGTTCACATTTACATGCCACTTTGGCGTTTTCCAGTCAACGCGGAGCCAAAGACAACGAGCTGATGTTTACTGGGACTCTGACCGACAGCCACAGCTGGCCTGTGGTTGAAACACATAGGGAAAATGACAGTGGACTTAAAGTTCCACCCTGTAGTCTGTACTGTAATACTTTGGTGTAATTTGTCATTTTCATCTTTTCTACCAGTGCTACCAGAAGGCAACGGTGACGCTACATCTAGTATCTGTTTACATCTAGAATCACGTCTGTCTCACGAGGAGGAAGTGGCTACATCTAAAGTGTCACCAAAACAGAAAACTGAACTGTGTACTTGTTGTTTCACCAACAGGTCTACTCTGACTGTGCATCGTGGTAAATTTGTAGCTTAGCCTGCTAGCACATTAGCTGCTGGTAATGGCTCATGTCAACAAGCTTGGCGTGGCCAAAACATGATGAACTGTGTGCATGGAGTTAACATGTTCCCTTCATTGGCCTTCCTTGTGTTCTGTGTGTGCTAGATTTCCTAGTGGTGATAATTAAATTACACTTGTGAGCTAATATAGCATATATGTCATAAACTAGGATATTGCCTCTGCACAAGAATAAGTATTTTCATTTGTGTACTTGCCAATACTGGGTAAAAATACAAATATTTATTTAGGTTGGATCTTTTGGTCATTTTGCAATTACGTGGAAGCCAGAGGCACTTAGGTGTCACAGCTCTGTGGGTGGAGAGGTGACTTTCAGTATGTGTGTGTAGGGGTCGGGGGGCTCAAGCCAGACCACAGTGACGACTGTCGGAAATGTTTACAGACAGTTTAATTTTCTCCCTACAAACAGAAGGCTCTTTCAGTCTTAACAAGAATCAACTTGAAGTTTTTGTATTATGAACACAGCCAGTTGAACAGAAAGTGAGCAGAGCTTTTAGACCGACGGCGCAATTGAAAACATTGACTTCTGCCTTTATTCAAAAAAAGTGTCACTTTGTTTGTTTGCTTGAAAATAACAATAATTATTATTATTATTATTAAGTCCTTGACTGAGGAAATTTAAAATGTGAGTGTTTGCAACTGACACTGGCTGCCACAGGTGGCGCCATTACGTACGACGTTGCAATTCACAAGCTGCCACACAAGAGGCATGTGGTTCCTTTGGGAATCGAACCCAGGACTCTGTTCTCTGCTTGAGAGGCAGGCATGCTAAATGCTGCGCTATGGAACTACTTCAAGGCTGCCCCCAGGTGGGCAAAACGAGCAGTGTTTGCATTTTGTTAAGATGTGACATTAGAGTGATCGGTACTGGGCGTGTCAGTGTTTTAATAACTCGCTCGTGTCCTAAGAGAACACCTTGGATAGTGATTATCATGTGTTGTGCACTTTTATTTAAGCATTGCCATATGAACAAAAGTGCAACGACATTTTAATTCCAAAAAGGGTCAACTTCTACTTCTTAATCCCATGTTGTCATCCTCTCCTGTGGCCACTATACATCCCGGTGTTTTGCAGGGCTGCAGGCATCCTGAGAATGCCTGACATGGAGTTTGGCCAGGCTGTACCACATACCTGCAGCACAGAATGGCAGGGCTTTAGTGGAAATGTGGTGCATGTGCCACTCAGCAGCCCCATCTGATGCTGGCTAAGTGGCTTTAGACATGAGCACTAATCCACACAGTGTTGAGAAGTCTCAGTCTCTGTCTTCTCTACGCTGATGGCTCTGCTGCAGGCAGCCAACCCTGTCTTAGCTTCAGACAGAAGGTCAACATGATTGTGTTTTTTCCTGGTTTTGTGTCTGGTTTCGTATTTACTTCTGCAAAGTAAACATGAAACCAGGAATATCTGTAAGTCAATATTTGTGCAAACCACAGCGGAAGTGAACGGAGACAATGCTGATTAATAAGACTAAAAACTAAAAAAAAACTACAATTTGTGCGTAAACCCAACGTATAGACGTCAAATATACACAAACACACTCATGCGTGTGCACAAGCTCACATGCGCACTTTTCGACAGTCCGTCCATTCAGCGTGATAACTTGGGCTGTTTTTGTAACAAAACAAGGCTTAATCCTAAATTCAGGGAACTGTGAATGTGCCTCAACAAATGGCAGACAAATGAGAAGGATTAACCAAGGCCTGTGAAAGAGTGAAAGGTTTGCCATTGATCTACGGTGGTCCCGTTCTCTTTCAGGGCCACTCGGTTTGAAAACCCTACTGAGTAAGAGCATACAGGACCACTCCAGAGCCCCGTAGGCCACTGAGAGACGCACACCAGCCACAATTAGTCTTAGCAGCTGTAATGGCAATTCAATAAGCGCTTTAAAACTGTGCCTTAGTCCGACTGCCCCCCACCCCCACCCCAAGTCCACCCCCTCCCACTCAGTTTCATCTACATACATAAGATTGGTATTATGAGTGGCAAGGGGGGGCTCTTTTTTTTTCTTTCCCACCCACCACAGTTCTTTTCAGTCAATCTGAGAGAAAATGACCACACAGGGTTTCAAAGGTTCTGGAGGCTGTGGTTTGTTGTCGCTGAAGCAGCGTGACTTGTGCCCCTGCAGATTGTAGCGAAGGCCCTCGAAATGAGCCTCTGGTATTACTTTTATTCTGACACTCAGCTGCTAATTTTCTTTTTTAAAATAATAACTTAAAACACAAACACCTGCCCTGTGATCTGTGATCTGAGCATCTTATTTTTTAACAATTTTTTCACTTCAGTTGTGAGGACTAAAGGACTGTTGTGGAACCCACAGGGTGATTTTTTTTTTTTTCTGACAGACACTAGCAACAACATAGTTGCATGAGTCATTGCTTTAGCCCTTTGCTTACACGGATCAGATCAAACACAGCCGTGGACACCTGTGCTCATGACATCAACACATTCTAGCAGCAGAAGGGCTGACAAAGTCTTCTGAGCGGCTGTCAATTCCATTCTCCTGGGTTGTGTTTGTGAGGTTCCCTGTTGCAGAGTTTCGGTTTTTCTTTTTGCCCCCGTGATCAAAGGCCTACGTTTTTGATCAAGACTTCCAAAGGTTCCCTATTGTACTGCTGGCAAGCGCACTGACAGGACAGTGATTGACCAATGGTAATTACAGCTCCCATTTAGTGTCCTTGGAGCTGGCAACAGCAGCCGGGAAGAAAGAAAAGATTCTTGGATGGGTAAAAGAGGCGAGAGGAGAGATGCATAGTAGAGACGGAGGACACGGTGATAGAGAGGGAGGTCCGCCGTGAGCACAGGCGGAAAATGGGATTACTCTGAGGGTCTGCATGTTAAGATACGTCTGTCTGGAAAAGGAAAACTAAATATAAAAGATACTCTAAAATGGGAAAATAAAATACAGATTATTGTGCTCTTATTTTATTTACTAATCTTATTCAAATGAGGATTTAAGTTTTGTGAGGAATCTCACGTTTTTATTATCAAAGTGCTCCCACATAGTAAAATTAAAGACTAAAATGTCACAATCTTTTAATTTTAATCATAAAAGGTTAAATAAAATGCATCAAAACTTTAGATTATTAATGAAACACTCTGGTTTTGTGTCATTTGGAGGTCGAATGCAGTGTGACTCCATGCCATTCTTCCCAGACATGTACCTCGTCACGGTAATCTCACATTATGACACACTCAGAGGCCGGCCTTTATTCACCCCTCACAGCTACTATTCATCATCGTCATCCTTTCTGTTCAGTACAAGAGCCCAGTGGACGGCCTGTCTGTGGGTAAACCACCTTGATGCTCTATACCAGGTCACAACTGGAAACCCCTTCAGCTGGGAGGTCCACCACATTAACAGCTCCTGGATCCAGAGTTTTTCATGTACGTATATGTTAATGTCTGATGAGCACTAATAGAAATGTTGCCATTAGTTATTGTCAGAGCCACACCATAAAAACGGTCGAATCTAATTCCCATGTATTTAGTGGTTATACAAAAAATACATGAGAACCACAGCTCTAATTTATCAACCATATTTATGTGTTTTTTACACTTAGCGCGGACCAAGGCACTCAATTCTTTTCACTTATTTGGAATTTGAAGGTGGAGTTGTTTACAGATTTACACACAGTTTTTAATTACAGGCTTAAAACACCAAATGACAATTTGTCCACAAATGTGTTGTTTCCCGGTACTCCCCTCATACATGATGGACTCGAATACAACTGTGTTTAATATTAAACAGTCGGATGATAATAACAATAAAAAACAACAACAACAACAGTAACTGTGAACTCAAACAGTTAAAGAGTATAAATGTTTTAAATATATTAAATGCTCTATTAGCAACAGATCTGGCTAACATCCCAGCAACGTGTTAGCAAAAATGTAGTATAAACTACACACATAATTGATGATACTACTTCTGTGTTGGTACCTTCTCTGTACTGTAAGGCAGTGGTTCCCCAGGTGGGGGGACGGGCCTGCCCTAATGGGGAGGGGGAGGGCACAGCAAGGCAAAAAAAATGTTTGGGAACCACTGCTGCAATGCATAACTGAAATAATAATTACTGAAGTACTAATTTATACCTTGAGGAATATCAACTCAATGAATCCATCCAACAGATACCGTAGTATTTAAGTATCATTTTAAGTAGCTCATATGACTGTGACATAATTTTAAAATGACATATTTTGCTGCGTTGCCTCTTTATTGTCAGTCCTCTTTCCTCAACCATAATCTTGTTTTCCCCATTTCCTTTGGAAAAGGACTCAGTTCTTTATAATGTCGGTCAAACTAGCAACTGTTGCCTTCAGTATCAAGAAACAGTGCTCCCAAGTGTGTACTTAGCACCCTCTACAGGCCAGGAAGGGGGCGCTATACACCCTAATAATTGAACAAAACTGTATATTAGCCTTTGACGTCATACTGTTGTCGCGGTGAGGATTATGCTACTGCCTGTAATCCTTCCACTAATATTGTAAACCAATATTGTTAACATGGTAAATGTAAGTAGTGTGTTACTGAAGTTGAACGCTGCAACTTTAATCTAGTAACTATGTTGAATATTGTTTTGTTTTTTTAAGAAGACTTGTTGACCAATTGTTTTAATCTACTTACAATGACCTATATTTAAAAAAACAACAACAACACTTTAGCATGCAACGCAGACCGAGGTGGACACTGTACACAGAAATACGCTACTGGATGTACTGAAGGACGTTGACACACACTGAGGAAAATAATTTAAATGTACATATTATACTAACTCTACTAATGTTACGGACCGTGACAAATGTACATTTATGTGACAGAAGTGTGGAGATCACGGTCACATCAACACTATTGTAGGTGAACTGCTCTGCTGCCAGTCGGAGTTCATACTGTAAGGATGCTAGGACGGGAGCATAGGCAGGAAGTGTGTGGACGGGTGTCTTCGTCGAGCCTTGTGACCTCGTCGGGGCTTCCCACGCCCGTTCAGTGAAACAAACATCTGCCTGCCGCCGTGCTTCCACCTGATGGAGGCGTAGGTGTTGTAGCCATTTTCCTCAATGCGTTCCTTGAACTTGCAGCTTGGATTGTACTTCACCTGCGTTAGGAAGAAGAGACCAGGGCTTACTTTTGCTCACAAAATTGAAAAACCAATGAGGGTGTGTCTGAGAGCTATATGTGATTGTCCCTGCAATCCCTCTTAATCCAAATGTAAAAAGCCAAACGCTACATTTCATTGTTTTGTTTTTTTGTACCATGTTCCACTACAAATACAGGTTAATACTCCAAAGCTCACTTTTCAAAGCAACGCTGACTTTGTTCTTTGGACAGTGGAATAAGCCAACTGAAGCTGCAGGTATCATCAGCCAAGATGATTGATAGTTACTTGGCTCCTCCCCTAAACTCTCTCTCTAGGATTTCAAGGATTTCCCTTCCCCTGAATAGAAGTCAACCCTTTTAGGAACCCCAATTTGTCCCCTATGTGCTTGATATAATAATAATAATAATAATAATAATAATAATAATAATGTTGCATACACACCGATCCAAAAAGTGTGCCTTTCTTGGACATAGCTAAGTACAACCCGGTGCTGACAGATTTGATGGCAACAACTCCCACACTGACTGATCGGATTTCCATCAGGCCTGGAAAAGAAAAGAAAGACAAGGGTCACTCTCCGAATCTTAGATCAGACCAGTGTTTACCAACCTTTTTTAATCCATCCAACATATTTGACATGAGTTTATTAAACAAGCACGTGAAGTAAAATATAATGATCTTTCAGTTTCAATTTACTCACATTTTACTCAGTCAGTGTGAAACCTGGGCCTGTTTAGTTGAACACGATACTGATATACTCAGAAATTGAAGAAAGACACACACAAAGATCTACTTGGGTCGTTTTTTGTTTTTATAGACACCGCTGTCACCTAGTGGAACAGTACTGTTCTGCCTTTTACTGTTACATAGATGAACAAAAAAACGATTTGCAGTAAATAATCATTTTTTAGACCAATTAAGTGTAATAGGATACTGTACTTTTAAGATACATATATACCTGATAATCTCATCGTGCACTCTTGTGCCACAGCAGTGGTTGGGAATCACTGGGTTAGACAGATACCGTTAGGAGTATACTAACAGGTCGACTTTCTGAGTAGCTTTATAGTGTACATACTCCTATCTTAAATCATGCCATTCAGAAATAGAAAAATAGTTTAAGAAAAAAATACAGATATGTTCCAGACATAAATCTCCAAATGTTATGTTTATGGCGTTTACAAAGGAACACATGACCTTCTTCCACAGCTTTCTTCTTGAATCCCATGAAAAGGTTTTCAAGCTGCTGCGCTAATTGTCTCCTCTGGGCACAGACTGAAAAAAGTCTCATGTTGCTCTCTCTCTCACTTCATATGTTTTTTTCATCACATAAAAAGGGTAGTGATGGAAAAAACATCCACATTATTATACTGTATATATGTTATTTTGTAATTTTGCTATAAAATCTAACACATATGCTGCTAATGACGCCTTTTTAATTGACATGTTGTGTTATAAAATCTAACACATATGCTGCTAATAACGCCTTTTTAATTGACATTGATGTCCAGTATGTTGACATCAGCGAAGATTGAATTTTCTCCCTGTATTCAATTTCCTTTCTCCTCCACTGGTGTCGCTCACTGAAAACCCAGAGTAATTCTACACAGTAAATTATTAGCCATACGAGGCTTGGCTGTGCTAACCGCTAACTTTTGAAAAGTCTGGGAACCACTACATGACTAGGCTAGCATTAGATTGTGTTCCAAGGGAAGTTTCCGTTACCATAGTTTTCCACAACATTTGCAATATTGCATCCCATCCAAACTGTTGGTATAATTACATGTACCGTTACTGTATAAATATTTAATGTACAATATATTAAGTAAGTGTAAGTATATTAGATTTTTGTTATTTTTATTTATATTTAATTAATATAATTTTACAAAAAATATCCTTAACATGTAGTGTTTGTGTATTTTTTAATTTTTTTTTATTTTAACTGGGTCGGCTTGAACGCCCTCACAGGCCGGTTTTGGCCCGCGGGCCTCATGTTTGACACCCCATGGTCTAAACATTACCTTCCGTGTTTACAAAAGTGACCTCTTCTAGTCTAGTGAAAAAGTACAAAGAGTTGGAAACTGTAAAGACAGGTCAGGAAAGATAAACAACCACAAACTCCTGTCGGACGTCTTTCTTCTCTGACATGAGTGTGTAAATGAAACCTCCTCGCATCCTGAGCTGCAGCTGCAGCTAAGACGGGAATTCCTCTGTGAGGTACATCTAGGTACCAACCCAGCTGCACCCCCATCATTCCTCCATTGCCTCTGATCCCATGAGGAAACGTTAACACTTTGATGGCAGTCCTTTTTTATGAACTGTGTTTACTAACACTGTGTCTACCACGGTGTCACCTGGAGCGTGCAAGGGACTCATAAGCAATTAGCCTTGGCTTGAGAGGAGATTGGAGCACTGCAAGGGTTTATGGGGGATTAGTCCAGGCCTATGAAAACCACTGGTGCCTGAAAGTGGTGCCAGCAGTAATTGGCATTTTTTGTGGCGTCAAGTATGTGTTGGGAAAAAAAAAATACTAGGACACATCTGAAACATTGCTAGTGGGTATCATCACTAACATTATAGCCTTAGAAGAAATAAAAATGGACTGGTTCAAACTAATCTCACAACTCTACGTTTTTAAAGTTTACACTGATCTCTAGTCGTTTTTGCACCATTGTGTTTTTTTACTACCACCATGCTGATTTCTAAAAGAAATATTACTATCTATCTATCTATCTATCTATCTATCTATCTATCTATCTATCTATCCATCCAGCCATCTATCTATCCATCCATCCATCTATCTAAAGGCAATATTTATGAAACAAATATAATAATAAAACAACACATTTTGTTCCTGTTCTGCACCTTGTTTGAATCAAACATGGCAGCGTTGCAACCAGCACCAAACCGGCACCAAAGATCCATAAACTCAGGATTTTTACATAGTCCACAGATAACACTTGGGCTCTGGACGCTTGACCACACATCTATAAAGACCAGCTCGATCCAAAACCCACAGTAGGCCCTTTGAAAAGTCACTCCATTGTGCTGAAAGCCTGGGAAATCAGAGTAAGGTATAGGTTTAAGAGAGCTTTCTTACCAGCTAAAATACAGAGGACACCTTGGACTGGAAGGAAGGCTTAATGTTGGACTTACAACCCAATCCTCTGCATCTGTAATGCACACACGGAGACCTGTAGTCCGTTCGTCCTGTCCCGACTCTGATTATGGACAACAACTTAAAACCATTTTAAATTCATGTCATTTTTTAAGGCGAGGTAGGACCAAAGTTGAACCAATGTGTGTGGAACCTTTAAACAATATCAGGATTAGACAAGTAACTGAGACAAATTAACTCCTTGTTCTTGTGGCGCTTTAGAAACAGAAGGTCACTTCTTCAGCGCTTTTTGCGAAGCAAGTGTCAATTGATGGCCCGTTGAGCTCGTTAAAAAGGTACTCCTGGCTTCCCACTTGCATTTGGAAGGATCTCTTAACCTTTAACATGTTTTGGCTGGGACTGTCAATAAGCTCAAGCTGCTATTACAAGCAAATCCTGCTCTATAGATGTCTAGTCAACTGTGGACTTGCCATTTATTTATACTCAATGGGATTTTTAAAAGCATAGAAGAAGTCTTTTTCTTTTTTTCTTTCGCTTTTTACTTTCTTTTCTTTCCTTCCCCCATTTTTTGGACGGTAGCCCATCGTCAGATCATTCAAGCCTTTTCTGACCTTGAAAAAAAGGGAAGAAAGGACAGAGGGAGACACTCTCACGGGGTTCTCTTTTGTCAGATACATAGTGTGCAGCGGGGGAGGGAGTGAACCCAGGGTGACGGTGCTAGTTATGAGACAGGGGTGTAGGGTGGCGGAGGGACACTTTCCAATCCGTCCTCTTTCTTTGTCACTCACCTGGGGTATGGAGAGTTAGATGCCATCTTGTTATGACTAAGCATTTTTACCAGAGCTCCTAAAAGAAAGAAAACCCTAAAGAACATATTTAATAGAAGTTTGGGAGTAAGATTAGATTTTCTTGAACCACTTTTTGTTCCTTCTTCCAAGTAAATTTCGGGTTGTCCCATTGAGGAGCCCTCTATGGCTCAGTGCTCGACTAGAGCAGAGCCTGGGAATCTCTGGGCTCCCGCTGTTTCCCTGCCCCTGATTGACATACCTTTTCAATTATTTCACAGTTTGCTTGCTTTTTAAATGAAGAGGACCTTGTTGTTTTCTTCCTTTTGCCCTCCTTTTCAAAATTCAACCTTTTCATGTTGGGTCTACGCTGCCGGGCCTAATGGCTGTGACCAGCACCTTTGATCTGCTGTGACCCCCTTGAAGGGTCTGGTGCTGGACGATGCAGCCGTCTGTGTGTATCAGCGCAGACAAAGGCTGCATCACTCACTACGGCTTTAAACACCTTGGGATATTACCATGACAACAGGCTCGAGCAAAAGGCCTTCACAGGTAGTGTTGGATTGAAACTTGCACAGTAACCCTACATCATACGGTGAAATGCCAATTCACGTAGTCAGCAAAGACCGGCCAACTTGGCCAACTTGTTCTGTGTCCTACTGGAATTCTGGCCAATTAGTGCAAGTTACCAATAATAATAATAATAATAATAATAATAATAATAATAATAATAAGTATTATTATTATTATTACTGGTTGAAACAATAACTTTCAACCAGCCTTCTAACTTCCAATACCAAGTATTTATTTATTTTTTGTTAAATACCAGTGTCCAAAAACACAGTCGAGTAAAACTCATAAAGTGATGCAGTACAGGCAGTGAGTCATTTAATAGACAATAAAATAAACCGTGACATGGACTTAGGGCAGAGGACACGGTTTATGTCCTGGCAACAAACTGTGATTGTGTGCTTCACCGTGTGGATGCTAATAAAATCAAAACAATATCAGGAGCTACTTCGCTACCGTTACAGTGGCTGTGGAAACAAAATGACCAAATCTGTCTCAACAATGAGCTGGCAGAAACATGAGGCTGGTTTTGTTTCCCAAAAAAACGTTTTACTCCTAATGTTGGAAACACATATCGACCGGTGGGGAGGATTGGACACTGTGAGTCTGATATATTTATCACACGCTCCTGTGTCTGTGAGGTCTCATTTCAGTGAGCCACTGATATGAAAGCTGATCTCTAATTGCTGAGGAATATGACAGTCCCTCTGAGCGCACATGAATTATTAATGCGGCAGTGCTGCCTTTCAGCCCCTGCATATTTTTATAGTATAGTAATTTTATTTTATGTTGTCAAAAATAAGATAAACATTTTTACTTGATAAACAGCAGCAGTGGTTCCCAAACTTTTTCAGCAACTTTTTTTTCTGCAAATACACTCACAAATCAGTGCATTGTTTCACTGTGACAAACAAGAATAGGAAATGAATTGTCCTTACTGTTCCTCTCACGGTGACTCCACATCCCCTGGGTTTACCTGCCACACACCTTTGGAACCACTGAGCTACAGCATTTTCTTACATGCCCTGTGTGAGGCCTATATGTTCTTGATTGATCTTGCATCTATCTAATA